CTGAGAAGAACCTTAATGGTCACTTAATACATCAGTTTTCAGTGCAGTGTCTGTAGCATTCTGCTGTGTTTGAAGTACTTCCAGCACATTGTGAGTCACCTCAATACAGGTACTTTCTAAGTGTATGTTTTGCTTAAGAGCCTTGCACTGCTCCTCCATGTGCTTGCCACTCATTACTGAAGCACTATGCTCAGCAACACCGAAGAGTGGCCCAGGCACCTGCACCAGAAACCAGGCTGACATGTCATGGCCCTCCTTCACAACAAGACTTTTCCCAGATCTACCAACATATCTCACTTCAGGGTTTTTCTTTTTTTCAGACTCTAGTATTTCTTCTGTTATTCGTCAAATTTCTTTGCTGTCTTCACATCCTTAATTTGACACACTCTTGTAGAAACCCTTAATATCTACAGTATCCATTCCCTTGTTTTCATGATTGCTTCCATAGATAATTAGCAGAAGATCCTTGTCCTTAAGACTTTATAATCTCTCTCTTCCTGCTATCAATGTTACTCTATGGTCATAGACTCACACAGTGCATTTATCTAGTCTCAGAATCCTGCAGTGTCTTTTCCACCTGACACCTGCAAAAACTGAACTACATGGAGAAACATTTGGGACATGCAATATTGCATAAACTTGGGCCAGAATTGCAAGGCTTTTCATGCTACCCTCCATTGAAGCTTATGTCTGGAGGCTGGATTACCCCTGAACTTGCATAAAAGGGCAGATAAATGGACTCCACAGATGAAGAAGGGGTTTGGAGAAGAAATGCATGTATCTCAGATTGGTGAATACTCACTGACTGTGACCACATTTACTTTGGAGATCACATAAGCAAAATACACTGTGAGACAACACAAATCATTGAGAAGTCAATGACTTTCGGTTCTGCACTTAAAAATCAACGTTTTTGCTAAATTAGCAAAAAGAATTTATGTATAAAATGGTAAGTTTGAGAGGCAGGTGATGGTAGACATCTATACGTCTTCTAGTAAAACATCAGACCGAGCTGCAATATCTTTTTGAATTGGTAACTTAGAGCATGTCCTACAGCACCACCTAGCAGGCTAATTTAAAAGTGGTCTATATCCCTTGATCCCCGACTATAACAACGGTGTGCTTATGCAACAGAAATAGAGTGCAATTCAGTCTTCTTTCACCTTCCTTATTATAACAGCTATCTTTTGAAACCAGAATCATGTCAACATGTCAGTTAGTAAACTTGTGATTTCTACTTTTCACAATCATATTTATTACAAAGCTCTTAAGAGAAACCACAGTGCAAATGCAATACTGTGTTGGGCTCTTGAGTTTTTATGTAAGGAGCCATCAGTTTTTAGACATCTCTAGCTCCTACAGAAAGAAGAAGCACCTTTCAGAAAGTCAGGCTGAACAAACCCATCCCACTGTCCCTCCATATTCACCAGGTAAGCCCCAGTGACTCTCAGACTTTCAGAATGTACCATCATACATTGTGGTTTGGTTTTAAGGAGTCTGGTCTCCACTTGTCCACTGTCCCCCGCATGCACTTTTTCCTTGTACATCTGCATGAAGTACAAATATCAATGCCAACTTACAAATGGTAAGTTTTTGCAAATGATAAAGCTACATGATGAGGCTGCAGACCCATGGCTATAACAGCTCTCAGCTGTTATAAAGTGGAGATGAAGGTCTCCTCTCCTTTTACAGCTCTGGCACTTTTCAGACTTTCCAGTGATCCCATTCAGTTTACTAATCTGATGGAAAAAGAGATAATTTTCTATGTTTTCTGCTGATAATGAGTTAAAAGCAGCACAAGAGGGACTGAGGGATGCCAGATATGGCAAAAAGTGGTTCAGAGGAAGAGAGAGGTGAGGAAGGTGGTATCTTTCCTCTGACTTCTCCCTTTGGGTGGCAGCAAACCATTCATCTGCCTTGCCTTTTGCATAAAACCACAACATAAGGGCAGAACTGTGCCCTCTCATGAGGGAGTGTGTTTTCTTAGCAATTAACACTTCGTTACTGGAAGTTAAAACCAAGGCTGTCATTATCAGCCTCTGCTCACAACATGGAGGGGTGCTTGGCTATGCCTATCCAGGCCTGCTTAGCACTAGCATTTCTAAAATACAGATCATCTAGTAGGAAAAGGTTAAGGTGAATATCTCCCTAGCTATCTCCCTAGGACACGTCCACATAAATCCTGGAGGAATATCTGAATTTGAACAAAAACTAAGAATTCAGTTTGCAATCTTAATCCTTTCATGTGAAAGCATATCTCAGGCCAAAACTTCTAGGAGCTGAACCTTTATTGGAAAGAAATGCCTCAGTCACGGTTTCTATGAAGAGGGGCTGCAATCAGGGGCTGCTATGAAGAAAAATATAGATCTGTCAAATTAATCTAAGTAAATAATAACCATGGCTTGCTTTTATTTCCATTCTGCTGTTTCTCAACCCATTACAAAGCATTATTTCTACTTATTGTGAAAAAATGATACCTCATGACTGCCTGGTGTGAAGGGATGTTTTAAAACAACCATTGAGCATCAATACATGCCTCTCCTATAGATGAGGCAAAACTGATCTTCTACTATCCACTATCCAAACAAAACCCTAAACTGGCCAGAAACTGTTCTCTGACCTTGTTTTGCAAGGGCTGCACAACCTAGCGGCAAGGCTGGACTCTGATCAGAGTCACGCCCCCGGAGGCCAGTGCTAGCCAAAGGACGCTGCCCTATAGAGCAAACCAGGGCTGCCAAGCGAAGGGCAGAGCTTCCCTAGAGCACCCAAGCTGTGGAACAAATCCATGCAGGATTACTGAGAAACTACACAGGCCATCTTCTGCTTCCAGCATATCGTAACTCTAAAGCAAACAAAAACCCCTGCGTGTGTTATTTTCTTATTAGAGATGGCAGAGAAAAGAAACACTCTGTGATGGATGCTAGTCATGCCACTTACTGCCTTCCCAGTGAGCATCCCTGTGCTGCAGTGGGAGGGCTGTGTTGCTAATACATATGTGAGGTATTCTGCAGGAAAAACACAGGGGGTTACAGCACGAAACACAAGGACACAGGATGGATTTATGACCCTGGGAGACAGCCCCTTCCCCGGGCCGCAGCTGCTGCTCCGGTGCCCCTAGGGGAGCACCCCTCGGCCTTGCTCCTCGGCTCCAGGCAGCGCAGCGGGTCGGACCTCCCGAAGGGAAGGAAAGCTCTCCCGCTGGTTTGTTCGAGGCCACTGCTCACTCTGGTGGGTTCAAGCCCTGACAGGCCGATAATCGCATCGCCCCGCTTAGGGGCACCCAACCTCAATACTCACCGCCTCGGCATGGCGCCACAGCCCGCCCCTTCCCCTGCTCCTTCCGCCCGCCGCACGGCAGCTGGGAGGCTGCCAGCCCGCGGAGCTCCGCGGGGATCCTCGGTAGGTGCAGATAGGGGAGGTGGGAGAAGTAGGAGGACGAGAGGCCGGCCTGGGGCGAGGCGCCACAGACCTTCGGCGCCCCCGGCATGGAGGGGTGAAAGCGGGAGGGAAGGACAGGGAAGGGAAGGACAGGACAGGGAACGCCTACCCCGCGGCCTGGTCCCGGGGACAGCGTGGGAGTCGTGTAAACCCCCCCCCCCCCCCCCCCAAATTTTTATTTTTCGCTGAGCCTTGAAATCCTGAGGCCTGGAACGGGTCCGGCCCTCACCCTACTTCCTGACTGGTAATGTTGTAAGTTGGGCTTTCCCTTTTGCCTCATCTGTATGCAGTTAGAAAATAAATTTATTCGAACGCTTACATTTACTTGTTTTGAACGTTAGCTATTAAAATTCCCAGACTGAAGTGACAGCAAGTACCTATAACACCACAAGCAAATAATATTTCATCATTTGGGGGAGACCACCTTATAAACGTTGTGGCTTTATGAGAGCTAGTGGTTACGTTTGCAGGATATGGTCTGGAAATTGCCTTGTAGCTTCTGGTTGCCTTGTTACACATAAATTGTGCAAAGTTTATGGATAAAAATAAAGATGCCATATGCAGTTAGGGCAGCAGCGGGATTATCTGCAGGAGCTGAGAGTCTGTGCTCGCCCTAGGGGAAGATTTGAAAGCACAAATGCTAAAAGGTATTAAGGGCAATTTTCATGTTACTTTCATGAGTATTGACTATCATGAGAAAATGAATACTGCTGGCATTTCCTGCTTATTCTTGCATTAGGCGTGTGGCAGGACTGTTGGGCATAATCCAGTCAAGAACATAGCCTGGGTTGTGAGGGGTCTGTTCTGGCTGTTCAGGAGAAGTCTGTAGATAAGAACAGTGCTTCCTGCCCAGCCTTCCTGTGGTTCACCCGTCAGCTGGCTGCCTGTTCAGGTGTGCTTCCTGGCATCCCAGGTCCCTGACCAGGAGGAGTACTCAACATTCCATGGGCTTGGCAAGCACCATTTGGTCATGTAGAAAGGGAGTATAGACTAGTTTTCACATGGTCTGTCCTTCCCGGTGCTGGTGTGGGCATAACATGAAGGCTGAATTTTCTCCTTGCAGTGTTCCTAATCTTCAAAAGATCTGTTAGGCAGCCCAAATGAGCGGGTTTTCTCTAACATGAGCTCACCTTCACGTGTGGATCAAGTGATAGGCTTCATATAATCATCTCTTTACAAGTGCTGGCCTCCCCACTGTAAATGGCGTGACCTTTTCAAGCAGGTCTAGACTACCAGATTTGCTGAGATTGTTAACTACAAAGAGGGCATTTGGGCTTACTATTACCATTTGCTGGGTTTTAGCTCTATTATTAAGGAAGTTTTCTCCCATAATTGGGTTTCATCCAACCTCTTGGCTCTTTAGCATATTTTTCTTAAACAGTTTTGTCAAACAAATCACCGCCTCCAGTCTTTAGCAGAATGCAAGAATACACCACTTATTACACTTAGAAATACATATTAAATTATTGTATACTTACGTGCATCATTGTTTTTCTTAAGCACTCAGTATGTGTGCAGTGCAGTATAAACATTAAACAAGATTATTCTTCCCCTAGTAAAACACTGCCTTTAATTTAATCTCTTTTTGTTTCCCTGTGGTTAATACTCATTTGCTGTTGATCATGGCTGGTGTGTCCTGGCATGTCATGCAGTGCTGTTTTATGATGTTACAGCCCCCAGTTGTCCACTCTCTGCCTCTGTGGGATGTTCTTGTTCAGCGTGAGTGGAAGAAGACAACATATGTCTGTGTTTCAGCTGCTGCGTACAAAGCCCAGCAGCATAGCTGAAACCCACCTTTGATAATGCTCTACACTAAGACACTGGTTGTTTTATCAAAGCATAGTTTTCTTCTGCCACCTCAGCTTCCTGTCAGGACAGCTGGAAATACTAATGTCTTCAGCAGCTGCACCAAGATTCTCTGAAGCTCATGTGTTAAAGCCCTGCAAGAACAGACGTTACAAGATGCAAATGGAAACAGGGGCATCCAATTTTCCCTGATGTCTGTTGGATTTAGGTGCCTAGTTCACTTTTATCTATGTATAGTAGCATTATTCCAGGGGACAATTCTGTAGCCAATGGAATTTTGTAAGCGAGGGGAGCTTTCCTGAGCAGAGCACATCATGTGGCTTGGACCATAAAAGGAACTTATACTCCCCAAGGGAAGCAGGACTCTTGAACTGAAGGAGTTGGCAGGTTTGGGAGAATTTTAATTTTATCTGCTTATTTAAAGAGTCACAACCAAGTTGTCTGCCCTGAAACAATTTCTGTTCCGGTTTATGCTCTGGGTTGCACATATTATTTGTCAGAGAAATTATTTCAGAGACAAAATTTTAAAAGTAGCAACTGAAAGCATGCTGCTTTCTGAAAATAGCTTTTTGCTGAGTAAGCTACAGCCTCTGCCTGGAAGTTGAAATCTGGAAAAACAAGCAAAAACCCCAAACCCACCAACCCCCCCAAAAATCTACAAAAAGCACATACTGGTTTTGGGAGGGGTGTGTGCTTGTGTTTGTGATGGAGTTTGGGGGGGTTGTTGTTTCAGGGTTTTTTAATAGTGAGTTGACTATCCATTAAAACAAACTGAATGAAAATTCTGCCTCCTGAAATGTTCAAATCAAAATGTGATCCTCTTTTGGTATTTGTAGTTAAGCTTAAGTAACTAAACTTAGTGTTGATGCTACTGATTAAAATTTTTGAACTGTACTGTAGAGGAGGTTAGTGTAGATTAATTATTGGCTGTTTCTGGCTTTAATATCTGTAGTCTTTGTAGTGGAGTGCAACAGTAGGACTGTGCTTGCAAAGACGAGGCAAGTATGTTGGGTAAATACAGAATGCACATTGATTGCTGGGGGAAGGAGAAGGTATGGTGGCTTTATTGTTGTCTTTATTGCACTGAATTGATTTACTGGAGGAGTGGGAGAAATTAATTCTTTGTATCAATTGTCCTATGTTCCAAGGCTCAGAAATTAATGAGCTTCACTTTCTCTGTAAAGGTGTTTTGTGTTTTGTTAAAGTAAAAGAGAGGATGTTTCTTCTGTTACTGTGCTCTGCTTCTCATTATTTTTGGCCTCTTTTTTTTTTTTTTTAATGCTAGAGAGATGAGACCCATTTATGCACACTTTAATTCCTGATTTTATGTTACAAACAGGTTAGGATTTGACTATGGCAGTGCGGTTCCTGCAGAAGGCATCTGTGTGGTTAAAGAAGCGCAGGATCACTTTGTTGGCCGTTTCATGCATGGGACTGTTTGGTGCTAACCTTTCCTATCATGTGTTCCCTGATCAGACGTTCAAACTGTTGCATGAGTGCTGGTCAGAGGGGCAGCCAGCTGAGCTTTCACAGAGGCTCTGTGGTGTCTTTCAGGATGTCCTTCAAGATACTGGTGTGAAGTCTGCTGACTCGTATCGAGCCTTTGCAGCTTCTGGCTTCCACCCTGTGAGTGCTGGAATCCCCTGGTTCCCTGCAGGCTCTTTGGTGGGCATCCCGCCTAACTTTGAAAGCACAGCTGAGAATAAAAAAGGAATAGTCAACCATGTTGTTGTGATCAGTGGCAAGGAAGTAGACTGGGAGAGCAATGAAGGAGTTGCTTTGAAGGAAGCTCTGACGTTTTCTCTTGAAGCTCAGAAGTTTGCCCTTGCCAGAGAAGTTATGTATTTGCAGAACAGCAGCCCTTTAGCAAGTGCAGCCGTGGCTCCAACTTGCTTAGCTGGTACATTTTTCTGTGGGAGAGCTATAAAGCTACTTCTGGGTTTTTCTTCTGGCCCCGTGATACTTCGTGGCATCTGTAACCTCATAACTGCGGCTGCTGGACTGATGTGCTATTACGTTTCTTACGACGCTGTGACCTATCACCTAGACTGCAAGGCTGACAGAAGGGCAGCTACTGTTTCCAAAGACTACGCCAGAGGTGGGGTTGAATTCTATGATAAAATCCTGTCCCGCAACAGGATCTTTCGTGGTCTGATGGGCAAACAAGGGATGAAAATTTATGCCCCAAGTGGTAACCTGTTCCCAAGGCACTGGTTCAGAATAAAGTATACCCCGTACACTTACCGAAGAGATTTGATTGTTAATATTTTAAGAGAGCTCCAGGCATAGGGAGTGCTTGAATTTTAAAGTTGTGAATTGTGTATTCTCTTGGAACACTGCTGTGCTGCCTTTTTTTTTCCCCCTGTATCTTCATGATTAGAATTTCAGGGTTTATTTTTGCATATAGCTCGAACGAGTTGTTGCACATTCTGTGAATAAAGAATTCTCTCTTAAAATATTAAAGACTCGCTTCAAAAGTGCTCTGTGCTGTGTGCATCTCAAATCACAAGACCACAGAGGAGGGAAGCTTCTCGAACACCGATCTGGAAGTTCTGCTGTCAGTGCAGTCTGAAAAATTTAAAGGATGAAGTGAGACAGGGAGTTTTGGGAGCATTATTGTTTAACCAGGGTGTTTGTATGTAAGTTTGCTGTTACTTTTTGTAGAACAACCCAAAGATGATTAAAAAACTGGACAGTCTGTATTGTGCTGTTGCATAAATACCAAGACATAGTGTTTCTGTTCTGTGTAAGTTGTTTGCACCATGTCAATTCTTATGCTGCAGTCACCATTCTTCAGTAGAGCACTCTATTTACACTGAACTTACAGTATGAACTTACAGTTCATACTAATACAGCTAGGTTATTACCAGCATCTGTATTATTTTGCTTAAATAGGTCTGCTCTCTACATGGCCTGGTGACTGCAGTAGTTATCTTGAATGTTTCCGAGCAGTGGTACTACGTAACGTGACTGTCGTGGGTTGGTTGTTTTCTCTCAAGTGGGATAAGCATGGTCAGGAGAGGGTTTCTTGTTTGCTTTGGTACAGATTTTGTTTAATTTAAAAAGCCATATAGATGTATGCCACCTTTTATGTCAAAGAAGCCCAGGTGTAAGTCTGGCATTTGTTGCAGAATCTGGTAAGGTCTGTGATGGAGAGTTGCCAAAGGAGATCATTCTCCTTTTTCAGACTAGCCTAAGGTTTTGTCTGCCAGAACCAAGCTTTGTCCAGGATTACTAATCTTCTGGAAAGGTCTTTTAGTGCATGGCAGTAAACTTTCTGCTATAGCCTCACCTTGAAGCTTTTATGTGGTTTCCAAGGTGATAGTTGTCAAACTTCATAGTTCTGTCTTTTATATTGCAGCCCTCTTTTCTATTGTTCCTCCCTGGTGACATCACGGCAGTTCTCCTCATCTCTGTTGTCATTCTTACAGGAAAGTTCTGTTACTTTGTACCTTAGTCACAGTTGTGCTGAGTGTCCTATCTGCCCTGGTTTTGTCCTTTATTCATCTGCTACAATAATAACTGTCATGCCTGTGTTTGCTCAAAGCACTACTAAGTTCTGTTTTCTCATTGAATAAAGTTGATGTACTGGCTGCTCAAACTCTGGTGTTGCTTTATATTGCTGAAACCATATACATAAGATGTTTGGGTTTCTGCTGCAGTAATCCATGTCGTGGTTTTCTGGACCACAGCCTGTCACTTACAGTTGTCCTTGAATTGTGAAGTGATGAGATGAATCTTAGGTACTTTCTGGCTGTAGGGTATAAGCTTATTGTTCTTGTGACTTTCATGAAGAAGTTTGGCAAAATCTCCTAGCCTGTATAGAATAAAGGGAGACTTTTCCTTTAGGCAGGGAGCTGTCACAGCTTCAGGCTAATTTTGTTTGACTTCTCTTCCATGTAAATCCAATATTACTGGTGAAGATAGAGGGGTTTTTTTGTTGAGTGATGTAGTGGCTCAAGACTGGAATAACAACTCCTGTTTTATATAGCCTGTGAGTTCAATTCATCCTAATGTTACTCCTTCAGACAAGTCTAAACTCCATTAAATGTTCTCAGAAAGAATTTGGCCCACTTGTTTTATGTGGTTGAAGGAGCTGCTATTACATAGGGAGTGCAGAGAGGAAACAGGCATTCTTTGAGATTTACGACAAATAGGAGTTTAAACAAAATAAAATTAATCTGCTTGCTTCTCACCACTCCTTATTGTTGCTTTTCATCAAGGTGCCTGCAGCTAGTACTGTTATTTAACATTCTCAGGTTGTAAAGTACCAATGATGCTAATGCGTTTTGCATTTGTGCACTTGCTTTACTCTTACAGTGGGATTCTCCATGAAGTTCCACGTATCTCTAAATGCCATGTCTGGCTTACCCTTATTTGAACTTGCTGTGGTATGCTGGTGTCAATAAGGGTGGGCTGACTAGTATGAAGTCACATACCCTTGCCTTCCAAAGAGATGTTCTTGCCACGGGCTTATGCACCTCCATCTCTATATAGTCACGCTCCTGTTCTGTTGCCGTCTGTGTAATCTGGAAGCATAGTACTGTCAATATAAGGGAAATTGCAGTTGAAATCGCAACTGCTAATTAAGGTTTCCCTGAACTGTGGGAACATATGGGTTGTCCTGTAAAAGCTTTGTATCGTGTATGCGTTGCCACTTAATTGCTGGTTGCAAGATCACCATGCTATTTGCTAAGTAATAGCAGAACTCAAATATATGGCCACAAGAATACTCATGCTGGGTTCTAACATTGCAAATGTTCTTCTGGAGCTCCCATTGAAATAAAATTAGGAATTCCCTGTACTGGTCATAGAAATGGTCTAGTTTTGAAGGTACAATAGAGAGCACCCCAGAATTAAAGGTGAAAATGTCATGCTCTTCCATGCTAAGAACAGTCTTATGTGGAAAAACAAGTTCATGCCATGGCCCAGAAGAGCCCAAGTAAATCAGTTTGTAAATAGTGTCAGTGGACAGCCTTACAGTCTCCCTCAGCTCTAAAGCTAAAACTCTGAGAAGAAAACTTGTATTAGTAATAAGTGGCTTCTCTTGCACTGCTCAGATGAGGCTGACTTCATACAATTTTTTGTGTAGAAAAGCAACAGAAAATGTTAAGCAATGGGAGTTGCTAGAAGATGTGGATATAAGAGGTCTCAGCCAAGAAACTGTAAAAGTGACGGTGTGAATGACTAACTCATAAAAATGGGTGTTGTGCACAAAAATGAAACTGGTAAAGTGATTAAGGGATGAAGTATGAGTAGCAAATAACCAAAACGAGTTGCCAGTTTTAATTTATACACAATCTTACTTTAAAGAGAAATTTCCTCAACTGGTTTGTTTATGTTATCCTTGTAACTAAATTTGTAAATTTGTATATAAATGTAATGCTTGTTGTTACATAAAGCTTTAGTGGATAATACTGGAAGAGATGAAAGCTGCCTAGGTGCTTTGCTCAGAGCTCCCACTGACTTGCAACAAGTGTAGGGTCTGGCTCACATTTCTTCCCCTATCCTGACAATTGTGGTTTCTTGTCACAGAAATGCCTTCAGCTTGTTTAATGGTCAAAAGCATACAACAGTCAGAAGTAGAGCAAGAATGAGAGCTAGACAGTCTTCTTGAGGACAAATAAATCGTAGAAATCATCTGATTTAATTTCTGAATCAGCTGCTATAGGTATCTGGCTGCTCTTGCAGTTTACCGGAAGGAGCTTCAGAGGTGGCTTCCAAGAGAGAAATTGCCACTCAGATGTCATGTGGGTAAAGAATGTCCCCCTTGGTATTGCCACAAGGGCTTTAGTTGAAGTGTAGTTGTCCTTTAGAAAACAGCACTTTTTATTATTGGTAGAGTACTGTTATCACCCCTTTTCATGCTGCAATGGTTTCTAGAATCTGACAGATAAGATGGTGAGAGAGCCAACTATGAAGCCTGTTGCCCTACAGAGTAAGCTGGTGGTCTTGGGAGAGGTGATGCTGGAAGCCAAGCCAGCTGCTGTCATTTTGCCCTTGGCTACAGCAGTTGTGAAGCAACCACTGTGACAAAGTGTGGCTTGGGTAGGAGTGAATTAAAATGTATGAGTCAAATCATCATCACTGAATCACAGGCAGGTTTCATTAAAGGAACAAATGTAGAGAATCCATCCCAGAGTGTGACTACTGTATCAGCCATTGTGGGCATGATTAAAACGACTGTAGGCATCTCCACTGTGTGGAAATACAATTCCTAGCAAGCTGCAGACACTGAGACAAGTATGTGGGCCATATCCTGCAACTTCTATCTGCTCGTCTTCATTAAAGCCTCATATAGCAGCTGTGCTTACATTAATATAAAAATGATTAAGTTGCAGACAACCTGCCATCCATGCATCCAGTTCCTCCTTGGTTTCATTCAGCTGGCAGAATATGCTGGTAAGCAGAGGAATGCTAATGTAGAAAGACATAATTAAGATCTCAGAATAAGGAGAACACTGTCAGGCATCAGAGAAGCTGAATTTGGTTGTTAACAAAACGAGACTTAAGAACAGGAAAACAATGTAATTATTATCTCAGAACTGGTATGTTAGACAAGCTAAGTCTGAAAGAGCTGAAAAATGGCTTGTGGATGTTTTGCTGGGCTTCTTTTTCACTGAGAATATATCAATTTGTTTAGTTGAAGCAAATATGTTCAAGCTGCTCAAAGTGCCAAACCTGTAAAGTGGAAAAAATTACTAAAATTTGGCTAGAAATCAGTCTTTCGGATATAGAAAAAAAAAGCTGTATTTTGGACAAGCAAAACTAAGACTTCATAGCCAGAAATGAACACTGAAATGTCTTTGCAGTTGGGAGCTCTGGCTTTTCTCAGTCAGACAAAGTTTGCCATGATGTATCCCGGTCTCCAATCTTGAGAGAAATGGTGCTCTAAAAAACTCAGTTTGTGTCCAAAAATGCTCTTTAGAAAACACAGTCAAACCAGGTCTATGTTTATTTTGCCCCACCTTAGTCTTCTTGTACTCCTTACTTCAGGAACCATTTGTGGTACTATGTGCTTGTGCAGTACTTACTATAATGTGACCTCTGCCTCTTAGTGTAACAATGAGCTTCTTGTATATGGCTATAATTGAGCATACTTCGCCTAAGTTGTGAAAACAGAATTATCCCCCACATCATGCTCCCTAGAGAATATTTATGGTGGGATTTTTGTTTGTTTGTTTGCTTAGTTTTTTTTTTTTTTTACCAAGGGTTGAGCTTCCATCATCTTGAATTTGGGACCCCTTTGTGTCCTGGTCTTGTTACACATAGTTAGTAGCTACTTCGGTCTGCAGTAGCATTACTGTGTTAATGTGGTCAGGGTGTTAACAGTTTCTTTCAATATAAATGAGTAACAGGTGAGGCAGCATCCTCCTTCGTGTGTGGCCAAGCTGCTTCTGCTGTAGATGTCTTGCAAAACAGCAAATCTCATTAGGATGACTAATAGTATTTATAAAACATAAGACATTATGAGTCCAATTTCAGGTTCCAGCAGTTCTTTCAGAGGGAACATTTAGAAAGAGTATGCAGTATCCCAACAGCTCTTCTTTAGTAACTGTCCAGTGGTTTAGTGCAGACCTGCTGACTTTTGGTAGCTTTGTTTCTGTCACTTGCTGAAGTAATTTTCCAGTGGGAATGTTGTTTCTTCATTCTCTGTCCCTTTTCCTTTCCCCTTGCTATGCAACTCTTGATGTTGTTAGAAAGCTGTGTATTACACAAGAATTGCAATAGAATTCTGTAACCAATTGCACTGATCTCTAGGTTATCCCTTTAATAGAGCTACGCTTTGCAGTCCTGACATTATGCACAAATCCTTAGCCATCTTGAGTAGCATCTTCATGACTGTGTCAACTACAGTAAAAATAAGTCTGCTCAGTGCATCTTTCAAGTATTCACCTTTTCCATCAAAACCCAGTTCCTTGTGTGTAGCCAGATTCCAGGTACTGCAGGTAACACATGCGTCCCAGTCAAAAGTTTCTGCTTCAGTTCCCTTACCCACACCGATTCCTCCTTCATGCTCCCTTGGACTGGACACAGTTACTGCACAGCCACCAGAGGTTTCAGTGGAGTATCCCCTTATTTAAAGGAGTTGAGAACTGAATGTGATGGTTCCTTCTCCAACTTCCACTAAGCAACATGTAACAGATCAATACTATGCTGGCTCTACTAAGTATGATGGTCCACAAAGCCCAAGCTATTACTTATTTCCAGCCAGAGAAAACGGAATTTTGTGCGGTTCTGTTATCACAAATACAACATTCGGTATCAACATGAATCAGCTGAGACTGAAGCTATAATTTGTGATATAAAAAACAGAAGTGTAATTTCCAGAAGTGGAAACTAATAAATTACTCCACTGTAACTATAAGAAGATAGTAAATGTGGAAATAAAGATAAAACTATCATCTGCTTTCCTATTGCAAAGCTATACTCAAAAATTCAATTACTATACAGGGAAACGCTGTATAGTAACTGGGGGGAGGGGGGATAGGGTGTGTTCTGCCTTTTCTGACTACAGGCATCTGTATGTTTCAGAAAAGAGAGCAGGAAAGAATTCCTCTATAGAAAGCTTTCCTTTGTGAGATCTTTTCTCACAAGGAA